AATGACTTCAAAATTGCTGGTCTATTGTCAAAACATGTCAGAGCATACATCTCATTGTCATTTCACTGCTGTGACACATAAACATATATAAGAATTTAAGAAATGAAAACAAAACAAGAATCAATGTATATACACACATAACAAGACTATAAGAAGATATGCAACCCACTTCTGTGGTATTTTTGCCTTTTTTCAGGTTTTTTTTTTTTCCTGACAGGCAGATATCATGTCCAACCCAAAACAAACAAACAAACAAACAATATTATAATCACATAATTTCATGCCAATATATCATATATATGTTATATTATAAAAGAAGACGAAGTCATCTATGTCCCCCACCCATTGTCCAATCTTAAAGACAATGATATGTGCAATCAAATGTGACATTGTAAATTATCAGTTTGTCCACCTGCTTGTGGAAGAGGGTGAATACCAGAGTCACCTGATCCAGAAATGATACCTACTACCGGGTACTTCCATTCAGCTCAGAGAGAGAGTCCATATTTTCCAAAATTTATATAAATATATTAAAACTGCAGGGGAAACATAAACAGCAAAAAGCAAATCTACCCCACATGGTGAATGTGTGTAGCAAGTTTTCTTTTATGGTTTCTGAGTTCTGCTACGGAATCAAAACTTGACGGATGGACAGAGCCTGTTTTTTGTCCCTCCCCCACCAACATTGGTGGGGTGGGGGGTAATAATGTAAAGTCATTAAACATGAAGGCCATTTTGACTTCAACAAACACACAAATATGAAACAGTCACATGTATCAATGCAATGTGAAATTCCCACCGGAAATATATACCGTATTCGACATAATAAGCGCCCAGGGCACTCTCAAAATTAGAAATAGGGGTCTCTTATTAGAATGGTATTTTGGTGAAAAAAAACAGAGTTGAAAGATAAATTTCGTGGTTTATGCTGACAGCCTGAAATGTTTATATACGACAGATATATTTTTCCAGAATTTATTGCCCATAAATAAGGGTGCATATAACACACAAGTGCGTATTATACACGAATAAATAAGTCTTGTGTACATTGATCAATCGGAAGGGGTGCTAATTGAGATTGTTCACAAGCCAATATATTAATAAATATTGCCGTGGGCACTTATTAGAGCGGGGCGCTTATTACGTCGAATACGGTATATATAATTAGATGTATCCAATCTGCGTTTGATACTTCTGAAGTGACAACAGTTAAAGAACTAGAACCAATCTGAGTTTCACAGACTGGATACCTCTAAACTTAATTTGCGAGTGTGAGTCAATTAAGCAATTAGTTTTGACTATTTAACTATTGAGAACTTAAGTTTTAAATCATAGTTCAAAAACTCAAAGTTGATTTAATTCCATTTTCCTGTGACAAAATGACCAGAGCTACAGATAAGCAGCGTATTTGTGTAAAATTTCCCCTAGAAATATTCAAAACCCAATTACTTTCAATTAACTTGTGTACAGAAATGCATGCATTAAATGAAAAACTCAAATCTATAAAAACAGCACACGTAAATACCCAATTAAGCTTTTTCAGCATGCGTACAAAGGAGCTAATTTCCGAGACACAATTATGAGCTAATTTACTTTCCGACTCAAGCCTTCATATTTAGAACAGTTATATACATCTAAAACATTATTTCATTTTTTAAAATCTTATAATGTTCATTAATTTTGGGAAAACCAATAGCGTGATGAATAGATGAGTGAAAAAATATTGGTTACCCAATGAAAATTATAATAACCTAATCAGAATAGAAACCCTGGAGTAAAAACTCAATTGCTCAAAAAGTTATCTGGAGCTCTGATGACTCTCTGGCAACCATTGAAGTGATGTAGATTGTGGAATGCAATTATCAATGAAGGTGTTAATTGTAATGCTGGAATTTCTTAAAGCACATGTCCCATTACACCGACTAAATATACAAATAAACAGATACAGTACATATCGGTTGGGCACCACACATCAGTTGCTGTCAAGGCTGATCAGTTCGTACTTTGAAGGGCAGCCTGAGATATTTTTGGAGACAAAATATTTTTTCTGTCACCGTTTCAAGACAAACGATTCACTTATTAACCACATGAAAACAAAGAAAAACTCATCATTTCTTTCAAAATTGGGACATTTTGTTAAAGTTCTAATTTTCTCAAATTTAGTGGTATTTTAACATTGCATTATATTGTAAAACTAGGGAAAAAGCTTTTAGATCATTATTTGTCCATCTTCCCGAGGCAAGAGAGTTAACTGACTATAAAAGTCCAGTTTCCACCCTTGACGAACTAGGCTGGTATTATGGAGTTACATTTTGGCTGGACTAACGAGTCTATGCATAGTCCAATCAAGCAAATTTTTTTTAGTTTCGTGAAATAAATAACCCTTTTCAAATCATTATATCAAATGGTTGATCTCTTATCATACACCAAGAACAACCAATATGACTTGTCAAAAGAGTCCTATATCACTTACCGTATTCGACATAAAAAGCGCTCAGGGGGCTCTCAAAATTAGAAATAGGGGGCTCTTATTAGAATATTATTTTGGTGAAAAACAACAGAGTTGAAAGATCATAAATTTAATGGTTTATGCTGACAGCCTGAAATGTTTATATACGACAATATATTTTTCCAGAATTTAACTGCCCATAATTAAGCGTGCACATAACACACGATGGCGAGTGCATATTATGCTCGAATAAATAAGTCTGTGTACATTGATCAATCGGAAGGAGTGCTAACTGGGATTGTTTACTAGCCAATATATTAGCAAATATCGCCGTGGGCGCTTATAAGAGCAGGGTGCTTATTACGTTGAATACGGTATATGAAGTCAGCTACAATGAAGGTACTCCATGATAAACCCACTTCTTGTGAATAGTGAATTTGGGTACATCATCAGCTTATTTGGAATCATCATTGGTTTCACAACAATCACATTATGCTACGAGTAGGGCGGGGGGCGATGGGGTAGCCTCGTGGTTAAAGCTTTAGTTCATCACGCTGAACGCCCGGTTTCAATTCTCCACATGGGTACAATGTGTGAAGCCCATTCCTGGTGTCCCCCGCTTTGATATTGCTGGAATATTGCTAAAATCGGCATAAAACCATACTCACCAACTCACTCACTGTAGTTCTGGATCTTGGTCGATGCCATATCGCCATCCTCATCACAACATATAAACATGCAAGGAATTATGGGTAGAAAACACAAAGGATGGTAATGGCAGCACAATAGTGACATAAGTAGTGTCCATTATTGAGCTATCATTCTAGGATGACCGTATTTCCTCTATTAGACGTCTTTTCAACACAATTTAATCTGAGTCATATTTCATGTTAACTTATTTTTTTTATAATTTTTTTTAAACCATTGGGTTATTTTAGTTTCATTCCGCTATTTGTCATATTGGCGGATCAGTTAACCAGCAATACAAAAAATAACTAGAATCTGTTTTTACTCAAAAACATAAGTCTCCTCCCTCTTTTTTTTGGCGATACATTATTTCAATTTGTTACTATAAATGTGAAAACAATAATAGCAAAATATAGCCAAGAAAGATCATGGTTTTATTCATAAATATTCATTCACTGTAGAGTTTTGGCGGAAAACAAACTTGTTTGAGGCTTAGTTCAAACTGTTTCCTTGGAAACACAACAACCTAAAAAATAAAAAAAATAAAAAATATGAAAAGGCAATAGTTGAGCATATGGTCTTTGCACATGTATAGTTTCATGCAAAGATATTCATTAGTTTGAGAGTAATGGCTCCGAAACAAAGCCTAGAGTTGTTTGAGGCTAAGTCCAAATAGTTTCCATGGAAATGTAACAAAATATTTTTTTAGAAAAATGTCAAAATAGTAAAAAGCACCAATGAAGCTGATAAGCAATGCATATCCCAAATATCATTGAAATATGTTGAACGGTTTTCAAGTTATGGCTCCAGGAATGAACCCTACCCTCGTTTGAGACTAAGTCGAAATTGTTTCCATGGAAACGTAGAAATATAATATTTTGACAAATCTAAAAATAGCAAAAGGCACATGTGAAGCTGATGACCAAAGCATATGTGCAGTTTCGTAGAAAAATGTTGAACAGTTCACAAGTTACTGTCCAGAAATTAACCCTACTCTCGTTTGAGACTAAATCAAAATCGTTTCCATGGAAACATACAAAAATAAAATTTTGAAACATTTCAAAATAGCAAAAGACACCAGGTAAGCTGATGAGTAATGCAAACGCCAATGCCAACGCCAATGGGAACTGAGGCGAAAACAATACGTTTCCGTCTCTTCGGAGGGAGACTTAATCACCTAATGAGAGAAATAAGAAACATTTATTACTTGCCCGTGAAGAGATCACCCGTTTAATAAACATACAGCTTTATTACACATTGTGTAATACCAAAACGCGTGCTTATGTACTCTCGGAACACGTTTCACGAACAAATATTGAAAGCTCTCAAAATCCCTCGGCGTATTCAACGACATTGTGTGTGGAGATGATAGATCACTGGGAGGAGCTTATGCACACTCGATGACCCCAGCAACCTTGTTGCTAGGCTGACGTCACATGGCATTGTTTCGCCGATGGATCTTGCAACAAAATTCAACAAATTATGTCATCGGGTATTGTGACGTCATTGTAAACTTTGAGCTGCAAGGCCCCGTTCCACAAGGTGATCGTACTCTAGCGCAACGAGAGTCTTTAGTCTAAGTTAAATTATGTGAGTTGTGATAGCCTTAGCACTACGATAATTTTGTGGGACGAACGCCTGAATTCTAAAGGTGGACCATTGTATGATATTAAATTCATACGTTTCAACTTTTGACGTGTTTGAAGTATTATTCTGTTAAACTCAATTGGATTATGCCATGGATCATGTAGGTGTCAGCCTATTTACACTCAACAGTATAATTCTAAAAACATTATAAATGACAAGTAATAAATAAAATACTAAACTCGCTCTCGTGTAAAACCAATTTTTTTGAAACTCGTGAATAGTTGTGGTATCTGACTCGCTTTCGCTCGTCAGATACCAGAACTATTCATTCGTTTCATAAAATTGGTATTACACGGGAGCTCGTTTAGTATTCTATATGTATGACATGGATGTTTTCAGCCATGAAGTGTCATGACAACTGTGAATGACATCCTGCCTGTGGCTACCTTTCGCATGAAGTCACTGAAAATTTTGACCATTATTTCAAAAAGGTGACTACATGTGAAACAACAAATGATTGAGCCCACTGGTAAAATTTCAACACTTCAACAAGTTCCTAAAGATAGGGAATCAATCCTCCTCAAACATAGGATATGAGATATTCCGGGTATGACTGCTCCAGGGTGAAGATGACATAGATGGAGGGATCTGAGGTGTTATCCACGCACGAGTCGTACAGCTCATACCCGTTCTGTGAACTTTTGGCGGGAGGGCGCACATATGTAGGATTTCCTGTTGTGCTTTCTCCAACAAGAACTTTTGCGACAAACATTTTCTTCTCTAATTCTGCTGGGTTTGGTGAATCTGTTAGTTTGGAGTAAGCATGAGAGTATTTTGCATCTCTTGCAAAATAGCTTCCACGTCCATGCTTTGTGCCAACTCTTGCTCCGCTAAATCGGAAATCAAAGCCCTGATGGCAGATGGGATCGACGAGTTGCAGCAAAGTTCCGTGAAACAGACTCAGTTCCTTCACAGGTTTTCCAGCCTTGGTGTTCATCTGCGCCATTTTCCTGTTGGTGTGACAGCGGTAGAATTATCCTTTTTATCAACCATTCGAACATGCTACTAAAAATAAGTTACAGATTCTTTCATATGACAATAGTTAACAATATTAACAACAGTAATATGAAACTAATATGAAAGTAACATGAAAGAATTGTGTGTCATGGTTAGTCACTCACTGGTTTCCCTCTCAATGGCTGGATTCGTTGGGTAAAAATAGTCACTACATCTCATCCAAGCAACACATATTCACAGATGATGGTGAGGTGAGGTGAGGTGAAATGGGGTTTAACGTCGCGTCCAAGATTATTGCACTTATATTGCGACGTGCATGTACGTGTGTGTGTGTGTGGCTGCTTGTACTAGTCCGGACTGATGCCGATTTATAGTGCTAGCTCACTGAGATACCATGCCACAGTTTAACATGAATACCCCACTCAGACACAGTATACTGACTCCGAGCCGACCAGTCCTTGTTTTAGCCCCTTAATGCCGAGCGCCAGACAGGGTAACAACAAGTACCATCTATTAATGTCTTTTGGTATGACACGGTCGGGGATCGAACCCTGGACCTTTCGCTCTCCGGGCGGACGCTCTACCACTAGACCACGGAGGCGGTCTCACGGATGATGGAGGAACGAAGTGTTTTCAAACTAGGACGGGGACGAGTCCAAATTTACTACCCTGGTACCCAACCCCCTATCACCCGACCCTACCCGGTTACTCGTGACTAACCACGAGTCCAGGTAGTCCTGTGGGTACCCGACCCAAGTACCCGAGTTACCCGTCCCAGCCCTAATACAAACCAATGAAGTATTGACTATCCACAATAGCGTGTGTTAAACTTCACTCAATCACCAGATGTTGGTTCCAGAATTTGGCTTCCAAACATTTCAATATCTTAACTGAGACTGCCTCCCACTCCTTTCAAAATTCCAGGATCAAATTTTGGTTAATGTGGTCATGGAATTCTTAATGTATCTTAATGATATGCCTGTATAAACCAAACATTGAAATATGTTGACCTGGGCAAATCATTTCTCGGCTTATGACAGGATCTTATGAGAGGATTAACCAGTATCACAGGACCATGTAACTAATTATAAGAATAAAAATAAAATAAGTTGCAAAAAAAATCATAGACAAGGCCAAAGGCAATAAAAATAAAAAAGGCCAAAGGCCGAGCTCGTCTATGATTATTTTGGCAACTTTTTTAATTTGTATTGTTATAATTAGTTACATCGTGAAAAAACTGTTTGTTCACAACTTTTTTTCACCTTCATGACAATGTCTAAAATTATGGTGACGAATTAGTATGGACAAATGAATGACTTCATGCCATTTAAGACGAATTGTTGCTTTTGGATTTATATCTATTTTGCATTTTATCGATACGATTTTGCAGCAAACGGACTAGTCATCCAACAACCAACTTGTCACCACCCTGTTGTCCCCATTGCTTACATCCAGCATAAAAAACACTTAAGCACATCCACAGAGGTGTAAATATACAGACATAACAATGGAGCTCTCAGTTGTAAGTGATTCCATGCGATTTGATTGGCTAACCCAAACTTTTTTAACGTTTATGATTCCATAAGCCAAAGTTTTGTAAGGCCATGCCCTTTAACATATTACTGCTTCCTGATTGGCTGATAATATGGTGGGTGGGGCTTGTGTTGTATTATTGTGCTGATGTTTGTATCATTGCGACGTGTCTTAGCGTTACTGATCAAACAAGCAGTCTGAATTTATTATTGTTGACTTATTTATCTATAAGAATTGACTTCAATATATTTTTGCATTTATGAAGTTATAAATGTAAAAACTGGTGTGCTCATTTTGCGTAAATCAGATTTTCTGTTACATTAATACCTCCACAAATGCAAATACATATTGAAGTCAATTCTTAATTAACGTTATATTCGCGTGGAAAGGAGAAATGCAAACTCACACACTGTAATTCACCCACAATGCTCCATTTTCTATGCGACTTATTGACTTAATCACTTTGGTTCTCGGGAGAGTTTTGAAGAAAAGATCTTCTACTTTCTTGTATTCTTCTGTGGATTTTCCAACCTTGAAAAGACATCAACACTGAAATGACTCCATGTTTTATGTATTGGAGAAAACACGCTCACGAGGTTTTGGTAGACAGAGCATGCCCTGGGGAGAGGGAAAAACCAAGGGGGCGAAAAGAAACTTAAAACAACATTTATCAACATTTTTATGTTTCCAACATACTTTCCATGAACCTTAGGAAAAGAACGTAAAATATCTGTTGCTGGCGTACGGATCTTGAAAAGGACATTCTAGAAAGCAGTGAGGCTTATCAATACCTCACTGGGCTACAGACATGAAGGTTGCGAGTTCGATCCTCGGGAAAATAAAGAAAACATTTGTCATTTGATTTTACATTTCATTACATGTTACAATCTGAACGGAAGTTATATTAATAAAATACCCAGGACATTATATAAAATCCCAGGGACATTACAACGTCCCTGTTTATGAGATTTAACCCGACTGGAAAGTAAAACCTCACAATAGGTTTTAATGCCTATAGAAAGAAGTCTCTTACTTAATAGCGATCCCAATGAATAGGTTTATATGACTTTGCATTTGTCTGTCTACATTACTAAAACAATATTAAATACACAGTTCTTTTAATTATATAAATATTTATCCATGTTATTTGTAAAATATAAAGTATGTAAGTTAAAATGTTCCATTAGAATTTAGGCTCCCACAAAAATACTGACAAACAATGCAGAGGACAGGAGACTGTAGCAACATACACAGCCACAACGAAGGGTGGAGAGAGCGAATACACTATGATTAGGAGTAATTCAGTTTGGTTTTATGCCTCTTTCAGCAATATTCAACAATGTCATGGTGGGGGACACCAGAAATGGGCTCCACACATGGTGTGATAAGCAAACACTTTAACCACTAGGCTACCCAACAGCCCCCAATGGTTATGGGTTGTGGAGGAGTAGGACCTTTAATATACAAGGCTTAAAAAACCCAAAAGAATTGGTTCTCAGGCAATGGCTTTTGAAAATATAGTGTGGGCGGTGTTTTTTCGTGGGTTGTTAAAACTAGTATGTAACCAAATAAACAGTACAATCAACCTGGTAAAGGGCCTCCCTACATACATGTATTCCTTGATGTGAAAGATACTGGACTACAGTATTGACTACCGTTGAACTTGGAATATTTAAGGAATTTTTATTTTTTTAAAGTGGAAATAATAACAAAACGAGCGCGAACTTTATGAAGATGTGGGCAGTGCCTGCAAACCAAGATTATTTTATTTTTTAGTCCAAGGCTACTGACCTTCGGGCTGCTGAAATGAGCATAAAGTTCTTTGGGTGACTTGAACTTCGTGCTGCTCCATTCATCCGGCACAACGACATTGTCAGAGGAAGGAGTCATGTTCCTGATGAAGACACGTACATCATCAGATACTGTACATCATACAACAGATTCTAGGATGAAACTAATGTGCAATGAAGTGTCCATGGCTCTCATTAATAAAGTGACACATTTTTACTTTGACATAATGGTGTCTACTGTCAAGTCAGGTTTACTTTTTGATTATAATATGTTACTGACAACTGCTGCAGACATGGGCAGGTCTAGATAAATCCCTAATAACATCCACATCTATGTTCAAAGGATTGCGTTAAATCAACCAACCACCCAATCATTTGATCAATCAATCGACCAATCACCGAACAAACCAATCAATCAATCATTGTTGACCTGAACTGTCTCTTTTCAATATACCTTATGTGCAAGTTCCTGCAACTGATTAATAGCAGCCTGATCGCAGGGTAAGTGGGAGAAGTAAAGTTTGTGAAGACAGCAAGAAATATTATTCAGTTGAACTACACTGATGAAGTGGGGGTCAGGTAGCCTAGTCGTCCATTCACTCGTCATGCCGAAGACCGGGTTTCGATTCCTGACATGTGTACAATGTGTGAAGCCCATTTCTGGTGTCCCCTGCTGTGATATTGCTGGAATATTGCTAAAAGCGTCGTAAAACCATACTCACTACAATTTACATGTATGCTATGATAACTGAACTGATTTGTTTTTAATTATATAGGCCTACTCTTTCGCATGCCATGGGATCCACAGGCAAAATTATTTGGATCCATTCTCAATTTTAGTGCATGTAGGATGCTTCCAGTATAACCCCTGAATGACCTGTTTACTGTGGGAAAAGGTATTGCGATGCACTGATATCACACTTAATGCTGGGAGCATGGGTGGCCCTAAAGTACAGTCAGACATGCTAGAAAAATGCTGTTCTGGCTTCATTTAATAAATACGAATCATAGGGTAATGCAAATAGCATATATCAAAATAACGCAAATCTACCTAATCTAGCCTATCCTAACTGTCACTGTGATTAGCCTGAAAAGGTACTTGTACAGGTTGATTATCTTAGAAAATATTTGTGTGTTGTCAGGTTAGAAATGGTTTGAGGTAATTACAAAGTTTGTTTTAAGGCGTCAATAGCGGTAATCTGACCGTGGTTGCTGTAAATAACGGTGAGTTGTGCGATCTACCGATGACTTCGCATTCGATTTCGCCGAAATTATTGTAAACATTATTATAATTATTGAATGAAATTTTGAATATAATTGATAAAATATATTGCAAACACCCAGTCCAGATAAACAATGAATAATTTTTTTATTACCAGATATTATAATAATAGGATTAATTGTGTACTTCAGTTCGGATTTGTTGACTGGTATTTCCGGTGTTACATGATTGTGGTGATCAGCTGATAATGTTTTCTGAGATGGAGGAAAACATCGTGTCATTGGAAAAGTTGAGTTTATTAAAAATGTTAGTAAATTTTGGGAGCCATGCTTTACCGCACACTATAACCGAGTTAGCCCTACATCGAAGAGCGCAATAATGAGGGACCACTGTACCTAACACCTGTCCCGAGGTGATGACCTCACACCGGCCCGTGCATTCTCACAGGTGCAAATGTCACAATGAGTTGGAGGTGGTCTCAAAATATTGCTGTTATTGTACTTTATTGAGATATGCATTGACCGTGGCAGCAATTAAGATATATACCCTTTGACAAGTGAGTGAACGTTGTGTCATATCTTTCCACAAACCCTTTAAAGTTAGCCCACATAAACTCAATATGGTAGAGCTGACAATGTCTGAGTGATGTACGTAAGACAACGTGACCGTGTTGTGCCACCAGAACAGATGGTCTGAAGTGGACATTGCAAGATGGCAGATATTCCTGCATGGTCTTCAGACTACTCATGGTTGGCGCACCAGTATCTGGTTCCCAATGTTGTACAACTGGCTTTATCCATGACAATGACACTGGGGCTGCTTAGATTGGGCATTAGCTGATGTTCCAACCAGTCCATGAACACATCACAGTTCATTTCCTTGTGATAATCACCAGTTTTTCTTATTCGCTTCGAAAACTAACTTGACTAACTAATTAAAAAAAACAGATCACAGGTTCTGACTAACAAAATGAGACCTCATAGACATGATCAAATATTTTTCCCTGAAAACTGCTGGATCATTGCCATGTGCAGTGTGTCCAAATCCCATCTTGCGGAGAGCAATAATTAACATCGTCTGGGACACATTAATTGTGTCTTTATCTTCCCGAAGAAGTCGGGAATACCTTCTGCTCAGGGGTGCCTTCTGCTCGGGGGAACCTTCTGCTCAGGGGAACCTTCTGCTCGAGGGATCTTCTGCTCGAGGGATCTTCTGCTCAGGGGTACCTTCTGCTCAGGGGACCTTCTGCTCGAGGGATCTTCTGCTCGGGGGAACCTTCTGCTCAGGGGAACCTTCTGCTCAGGGGACCTTCTGCTCGAGGGATCTTCTGCTCAGGGGAACCTTCTGCTCAGGGGTACCTTCTGCTCGAGGGATCTTCTGCTCAGGGGAACCTTCTGCTCAGGGGTACCTTCTGCTCAGGGGAACCTTCTGCTCACGGGTACCTTCTGCTCAGGGGAACCTTCTGCTAGGGGGTACCTTCTGCTCGAGGGATCTTCTGCTCAGGGGAACCTTCTGCTCAGGGGTACCTTCTGCTCAGGGGAACCTTCTGCTCACGGGTACCTTCTGCTCGAGGGATCTTCTGCTCGGGGGAACCTTCTGCTCAGGGGAACCTTCTGCTCAGGGGACCTTCTGCTCGAGGGATCTTCTGCTCGGGGGAACCTTCTGCTCAGGGGAACCTTCTGCTCAGGGGAACCTTCTGCTCAGGGGAACCTTCTGCTCAGGGGACCTTCTGCTCAGGGAACCTTCTGCTCAGGGGAACCTTCTGCTCACGGGGACCTTCTGCTCACGGGTACCTTCTGCTCAGGGGAACCTTCTGCTCAGGGGAACCTTCTGCTCGAGGGATCTTCTGCTCAGGGGAACCTTCTGCTCAGGGGTACCTTCTGCTCACGGGTACCTTCTGCTCAGGGGAACCTTCTGCTAGGGGGTACCTTCTGCTCGGGGGTACCTTCTGCTCGAGGGATCTTCTGCTCAGGGGACCTTCTGCTTGGGGTACCTTCTGCTCAGAAAGCTTGAGCACTATATTCTCAAAGCGGTCTAATATCCTTTACGTCCGGTTCTGTTTTTGAGATGACCCATACCTTCTTTGTTTTATTTATCATACCATAGACTTGATGGTATGAAATCACCAGAGATTCGGTGTTGTGTTGAAAAAGAAAATGTAGCATTTTTGTTTTGTTTCTAAGATGCACATCTGTTTTTTTCCCCAATTGATTTGGTTTTGTGTATTAGATGTAAAATGAAGTCTACATTATACTTCAAACCACAGGTAGGTAGATCAGTTGTAACTTGATATTTCAATAGCAACAGTCTGTGAAACATTCTGTCTTGTTTTAACAGGAAAAAGCATTTTCCTAGCATTTCTGTCTGTACCTGAGTCGTCTTAGATGCTGCAATTCACTTGCAGAGTTGCAACATTTGGGCACGCATCAAACCCGATTCACGTCGATTTTGTTTCTAGGTTTGTCAACACCATATCCATGTTTGTCGGTTTCATCAAAGAAGTAAACGTCTGAGACCTGCATCACTTCAGGCTTTCCTCCAACATTAAGCTGACACGCCGTGATATAACTGGAATACTGTTCAAAGCAGCACTAAAAAAACAACTGAGTCACTCACACACTACAATTAATGTCCTGCTTAACAAAATGACATCTATATCATGCCATGTGGAAAAAAATCAAATTGATTATGATCTAACCTTTTTTTCAAGTCAGCTTTCTTGTAGAAGTATGGCCGCCTTCTGACCCGCCTTGTTGTAGTGAGCTTTGTGTTTTCCTGGATCATCACAGAGAAGTTGAGCTTGTAGCAGAACTCATCTGTCTTGAACTCAATTGATCCCTTGGGATCAGCTAAATACGCCTTCTCTATGGCCTCACTGTCCATACTTGACGTGAAACCACGAAAATCCTGTGAAATACAAGCAGAGTGAGATAGTTCCAACAGAACATTATTATTGTCATTGTTTTGAAAATATAAATGATTGAGCAGACATCATCAACATAGGTCATTCTACACCTCAAATGACAAAGTATCAAATATCTGTCCAAGGTGAAATAATTCTGCTAGCTATGAGGTAGAGTAATCAATTATTCCAACTTGTGAGAAGGTTATCTCTGTTTTTTTGTGTGTAGAATTGCAGAAAAATGATTTCCTGTTTTAAAGTGGAGACACCAGCTTCGTTGACCTAATTTTCAAACAATGTCACATACAATTGTTTTGAACAATGTGCTCGGATATCACTTCATTGATCAGGATTTTCAGGTATATTGTAGTGTGAGTGTGTATGGTTTTACGCCGCTTTTAGGAATGTTCCAGCAATATCACGGCGGGGACACCAGAAATGGGCTTCACACATTGTACCCATGTCGGGAATTGAACCTGGGTCTTCGGCGTGAAGAGCGAATGCTTTAACCACTAGGCTACCCGACCGCCCCCAGGTATTTTGTAAACAAAGTGGCATCAAACTTTGACCCCCTCACAGACTGCTGCCAGACCTGTCTTTCAGGCCCAGTCTCGACAGTTTCCTCTGTATTTCTGTCTTAACTCTAACCTTTACTCCATACTCTGTCCAGTCACCATATTGAGTTTCCCAGTACCACTTCCATTCCGTTATCCACTGGTGGACCACAGATGTTGCACTCTCATCTTCTGATGATAAGGTGGAGAGTCTGCGAATGTCCACTTGGGAGTCCTTTCTGGTGCCTGTCATCGGGTCGTCAATGAAGCTGATGTTGATGACATCATCCAATCTGGAAAAACAAACATTCAACAGAATTGGAAACAATCATGCTTGTTGAAGACAATTGAAAACAATCATGCTTGCTGAAGACAATTGAAAACAATCATGCTTGTTGAAGTCAATTGAAAACAATCATGCTTGTTGAAGTCAATTGAAAACAATCATGCTTGCTGAAGACAATTGAAAACAATCATGCTTGCTGAAGACAATTGACAACAATCATGCTTGTTGAAGTCAATTGAAAACAATCATGCTTTCTGAAGACAATTGAAAACAATCATGCTTGTTGAAGTCAATTGGAAACAATCATGCTTGTTGAAGACAATTGAAAACAATCATGCTTGCTGAAGACAATTGAAAACAATCATGCTTGTTGAAGTCAATTGAAAACAATCATGCTTGTTGAAGTCAATTGAAAACAATCATGCTTGCTGAAGACAATTGACAACAATCATGCTTGCTGAAGACAATTGAAAACAATCATGCTTGCTGAAGACAATTGACAACAATCATGCTTGTTGAAGTCAATTGAAAACAATCATGCTTGCTGAAGACAATTGACAACAATCATGCTTGTTGAAATCAATAGAAAACAATCATGCTTGCTAAAGAGAACTGAAACAAGCATGCTTGCTAAAGAATATTTCATGATAAACAGGATACTTACTTCCCAAAACATTCGTTTTTATCAGGTTGACAAAAGTTCATTTCTATGTTGGTGTTAGATTCCTCATCAAAATCCTTCCAGTCCTGTGGACAGTCAGCAGGTCCCTGTTTCTCCCGACACTGCCACTGATAGATCATCTCTTTGTGGTGTCTCATACAGGTCTGGCCATACCAACACTTCCCTTTCAAGAAATAAGTACAAATATCCAGAGTGTCCTTGTCAGAAGCCTCTGACACCTGTTTCCCGTAGGAAGGTCTTCCCCTGGAGCTGGATCTGGTCTTCTGATAGGACTTTGGTCGAGCTCCTTCATTTCTCTGTCCTGGGTTCGGATGCAGAGGCTCTTGCATCCCTGCTCTTGGTCGTCCACCATGGGATTCATGCCCTTGCATCCGTGGTCCTTGGGGTTCTTGGTGATAAGAAATGGGTTGCCCTTGTTTCAAAGTAGGGCGTCCAAAAGGATTTGGGAGGACATTGGGTGGCAGGTGGCTAGTGTATTGACCATGGGGTTCATAGCAATGTGAAGGAGGATATCCTGGGTTTCTTGGAGGACGACTGTATTGGTCATCAGGGAATGGTGGATTTCCACCTTGAGTTCCATATCCATATAGGCCCTGTGGAGGATGCATATTGGGAGGAGAGTTGCCATAACCATGGTTACCATACTGGTCTTGAATGTCATAGGAATCTGAACGGGCTGGTGAAGGGGAGCTTACTCTGCGGTTTCTTTGTTTAGGACCAACTGATCTGGATCTCGGTCCTTTTGTGGGTGGCTGAGTGGACTCCGGCAAAGATGTTACTGAGCTGTGCCTGGCTAGAGGTCCCTCACTGAACGTGGCAAATAAGCTTCTGAGGTCCTGAAGAATAATGTGTTCAGGTCGTTGAGTGATAATGCCGTATTTGTCCAAGATGCTTGTGACATGTGGATCGTTGATGTTGTGGCTCCTCTTACACGCGTTGCCAAACTTGCATGCATCGGACATGTAATGACCGCAGAGATGTAGGAATGGACAAGTTGCTTTATTGCATCCTTGTATCGTGTTGTAGAACCTACACAGTTCTGGTTTAGTAAGGAAGGTGCGGTTTTCTATGCACCTCAATATTATTTTGATGTCCCGAGTACTTAGCCTGTCCATAAGAAAGGGCTGTAGAACTTGGAGGTTGTGCCGTGTTTGAAGGTCGTGGCCATAAGCACATTTCGACTCAAACTTGCATGAATCAGACAAAAGAAAGAATTTACATATGTGAAGATTGCCACAGAAATAATGGGTACAGTTCCCCTTCTTTGTGGAATGGTCCTCACAGATGGGAACTGGTGCATAGAGAAACACAATGCTGGCAGCAGGGTTTGGTGTTCGGACAATCTGAAATACATTTGGATATTTTTCAAGAAATTTCATAAGGCCTTTTTCGTTTTTTATTTTGAACCCATCTTGTGTAAGGTGCCTGATCAGCTGCTGCAAGGATGTCCGACAGTTACACCTGGACAGCACTGTCATCACCAGCGTGGCAGCTTCGTCGTTTGAGGCCATGGTGATCAGCGTCTGAAACAAGTGAGTGAGTGAGTGAGTGAGTGAGTGAGTGAGTTTTTAATGTGTCAATCTGTCTATTAATAACCACATATGTCTTGGCAAGGCACACTAATGATTGATACCATGAGCAAAACCTCACACAGTCCCACATATTGTAGTCCTTTGTGTACCCGTATCCTACTCTGATCAGGACCCACATGACCGAGTTACCTGTCCCAGCCAGAGCTCCAGATAAGCTTTTGGTGTTGTGGGTATTTTACCCATGCATTTTAAAATCATTGGGTATCAGTAATTCTATCTGGGTATTCAAATTTCTGTTACCCACTAGTTTTTACACATATGGGTATCTAAGTTAAATATTTAAAATCACTATTCATCTAGTCCCTGCAAACTGGTGTCGTGTGGGTTCGAGAGCTTTATAGGACTCAAAAATACCACGATACTTCCACAAGAAAGTGTGATGGCAAATGATCATGATGTAACTGTCATCGTCTAGTTTGGCAAGGTTGACAGAACGCCCGTTTATATTTTCAAAATAAGTTGCGGATTTGCTAATCAAATACGCAGGGTTACTTCACAATATTTTGATGAAACGCACAAGTTTTATTGTTGTAGCGTATCTGTAAGGTTTGTTGCGTATTTGATACCTCGAAGGAACAAACCAAAATTGAAACAAATATGTTTTGACTGTTGCAACCCATTAAACGAATTAGTAATACGTGTAAGAGTTCCAAAAACAATTGTTACAGGACTGGGTGCCGTTGTACAAAAAAAAGATTATCGCTACGATCGTCGTAAGTCTATGATAAGGGAGTTACGATCACCTTAGCGCTAAGATAGCTTTGTACAACCACACCCTGGAACCAAATCTGGTCTAAATGACATCCTCCCAGACAAATTAATAAGTGTGCATAGACAACTGTATTGGATCTCTAGCATCCACGTTACGAAATATAATATTTATAACAAGACCATTTTGCCAGTTTACGTCTGTGAAGTTTTCTACGATCACGAACCTACACGATGAATAATAATTATCAGAGATCGACAGATCTTGATTTTTGACACTTACGCGTTTAGATTATGACCCGATACAGCCAACATATCCCCATTCTTTCCTCCTCTTGAAACGAAAGTTGACTACTAGGAAATTCATTTGGAACTGCATAACAGGTTTGTTGTTGACAAATCCGGTAGCCTTTACAGCAGTGCCGGTTCAACCCGAGAATTTCCGACTGCTCAGAAATCATAGCCTAATAATAGAGTTATTTCCCTTTATGGGAATTCCCCAAATTACATACGGGCAATGAAAACATGTCTGCTCCCTCCATGAGTATCAACTTGGCTCGTCAAATTAGGAAACTTAGAAAGAAACTGAGGCAAATAGAAAATCTAGAGAGATTAGGAAGACAACTTTCAGAAGAGGAGCGTCTAAAGGTTTGTTCAAACGAAAGCCGTATTTGCCCTTTGAGGTCCAAAATGGTAGGACACGTCATTCAATGGCATCAATGCCGATGGCGATGTGTAACCACCAAATCATGCGAAATGAGTCATTTGGTAACATTAAATTAAAGACCAAAATGTATATATGCGATAGCTTGTTTTAAGATATTTGCTGAAACGAAATAATTCCGTAAATTGCACGTGTCCGTTGTGGCTTAACAACTCTTAAGAAAAATGAACTGAGTGCTGAAATTGTTCATGTACCTCAGTTGTTTTTGTTATTTTCGTCAATCCATGTCCAATTGCTATTCTCAGAATTATCTGGTAGGCTTAATAAACAAACTCTCTTCCTAATGCCGTATGTTTCAACTGATATAATTATTTCCGGAGATCAGTGTATAATATTTGGGTGTATTCTTGCTGAAATGTCACGTCCCTGTGTAATCTGATACACCAGACGGCTACCTCTGATTGAAGTAACTATTCCCACTTGAGTGCACACTTCAGTGGCGATTCATGCATGACTCACACACACACTAACTTGTGCATGTTTCACTTCTTACTAATTCACTGATTGTGGTGCAAAACTGTGGAGATTATCATGATAATATGTGTGTCTGAATAGAAGTGTTCGCTTGTCTCCTCCCCCCACCCCCCAGTTCCAAATGGTTACAATGTGTTAAGCTCATTTTTTGATAAAGCTGGAATATTGCTAAATCAGTATAAATTTAGCTGTGCGAGCAGGTTGAATATTTGGATTTACACTTCACCTTGGCCCTTTTCTATTTTTTGTATTACCTCTGCGTAAACTTTGAAAAAATCAGGGGTTGAAAATTTATTGAAGAGGTTACTTGACCAAGGGCAAGTATGACCAACATTCTTACTTGCCCTATTTTAAAATGTACTTGCCCAAAATCATGCTAATAAATTCAGTAAAATGTTACATCTACAGAACTGAGAATCAGAGATACAGTGTTCCCTCGCTATTGCGCCCCTCAATATAGTGCTTACTTGGTTATGGTGCGGTAATGAATGGCTCCCAAAGTTTACTTTCATTTTTAAGAAACTGAAGTTTTACACTGACACGATGTGGACTATAGCGTGCACCATGTCAACATATAAGCTTGGCCACTGTTGAAATACATGTATACACACGTTAGTGACCACTTCGATTTCGAGACCTTAGTGGAAATGGACATACACAACCAGGTGGTGTAAGATGAGGAAGTAAACCGAGTATCTGGCACATAGCGAGTCGACTACAACTGGAATATGAAGTGAACTGGGCGCTCAAAGAGCCTTCCTTCGCTATTGCGCCCTTCAATATAGCGCTAACTTGGTTATAGCGCGGTAACGCATGCCTTTCAACATTTACATACATTTTTGATAAACTCAAGTTTTAATCTAACACAATGTTTTTCCCCTCATCTAAAATATCAAAAACAGCTGATCACTGCGAGCATGTAACACATTAAATACTAGTCAACAGATCTGAACTGAAGTACGCAATTTAATCCCATTATTGTACTTTTTGGTTATAAAAAGGTGTTCATTGTATATCTGGACTTATGTTTGTAATTTATTTTATTCAAAAATTTCATTCAATATTTGTTTACATTCATTTAGGCGAAATCGTGTGTGAAGTGATCGGTAGATCGCACAACTCACTGTTATTTACAGCAACCACGGTTAGATTACCACTATTGACACCTTGAAACAAACTTTAGTTGCCAGAGAATTGGTACATATATCATAAATGTCATACTTTGACTCGTTAAAAGTCATATTTGTGGCAATTTGAAGACTATGCCAACATAACGTTTTCGCAATCGAAAAACATGTAGCGCGGAAAGTCCCTATACGGTGACTGGTTAGATTGTTTCATATACAAAAATATCCTGCACTAGCAATCAGCTGTACCAAAGTGCTACGCTAATGGTTCTTATCATTTTTAACATATTGTAAAATAACACATATTGGAATATATTACTCCTGATAAAATAATAATTTCAGATACAATTTCTTTCGACCATTTCATCAAAATTCTTTGAAGTTGTATCATTGGTTACTTTTTAACTGAATCATCAGTAGATTGGAGAAAACATAAGCACAGCTGATTGATATTTCCGGGTTAGTTTACACACCGACGGTATATGGTCTCTGGTTTACAGCAGACACGATCAGATTATCACTATTGATGCCTTGAAACAAACTTTAGTTGATCGGGAATGGATTCATATATCATAGATGCCATACTTTGACTCGTTAAAAGTCATATTTGTTGTCGTTTGACAAAGTTTTCGCGGTCAAGAGCGTGTGAGCCTCGACAGTCTTTGCCTACATTATTAAACATCACATTTATATCAACAATAAGACATTTTGGATAGCCAAAATACCATCTTAGACATACGCTGAAAACAAACAACTATGTATTCCACACCACTGTTTATTGAGCAGCACTTGTAACAAGTAGATAAGCAAGGTTATTCAAACACTAATTACATCCTGTGAATTGTCACGGCTTGGGTCAAGACAAGAGTTCTCCCCACTAATGCACTGATGTCATCTCTGATCACACCTGCAAGTCCAGACAGACGCCACCCACGGTGTCTTTGTTCTTTGTGACTGCGCCAAAGGCTGACACGAGCCGGCGCACATGTATTGTTTTAGCGGAAGTACTCTACTCAGCCCTAATAAGTGGTGCTATTTGGTGTGTGATTGGATTCATTTAAGGTTGGATTAAGGTGAGGATTCTCCTGTAAACCTGACAGAGAAAATTTTCTTCAGATATGAATCCACTGATGCTTGAGAGGAGGGGGGTGTTGCATTCATATTGAGTTGCATTTTTGGCTAGGGGCCAAAGGTAGACAATGTCAAGCATTGGAATCAGTTGTACAGCCTGTAACTGTCATTCTGAATGCCCAAAGTCAATCTTTTATATGTTGCATGATAAGAAAACACATTCAGACTTTCACTTTCTCGATCTCGTTCCACCGTGACCTGTAATTGGCCGTCCAGAGATCATCTTCCTGAGGCAAGGGAGTTAACTGACTACAAAAGACCAGTTTCCACCCTTGCCGAAATAGGCTAGAATTATGGAGTTTTATTTTGGCTGGACTAACGAGCCTAAGCATAGTCCAATCAAATTCGCATAATGAAATCAACATCCGGTTCATAAACTGCCATGCCGATTTTGGTCGATTGCAGGATTTGCTAAACATGTGCACGGCCAACTTAGTGTCAACAGGTACTTTAAAAATCGTTTCATGTTTTTAATCAATGTGCTCACGTGATTTGTTGCACTTTTCGAAGTAAGACCCATTTTGTTTCAATATGGATCTTGATTATCGATCCTATCGTCTTCACTAGGCGTTGCCACTTTGTTTGAAGTAAATGCAAGTGATATGAGAGGTCGAATCTGATTGGTCAATAGGAGGGACATAGAAGAAACATAACTCGTAATAGCAACTGGTGGTGCTACGATCGAACCCAGAAATTCCAGTCTAGTTCGTCAATGGTGGAAACTGGACTATTAAAGTTAGTTAACTCCCTTGCCTCGGGAAGATGTGGGAAGATGTGGGAAGATGATCTGAGGACAGCCCATTAAGCAGTTACTGAAAGCCCCAATTACAGGGAGACAGCGTCTCAGTTTCACAGGTGGTATTAATTACAATGTCTGGACTAAGGCAGAAGATGAGCACTTAGCCGTGGGGCACAGGCTCCCTCTACAAGTGGCGTTAAACCCAACTCACTCAGTCACATCACTGATCTGGCTGAAATTCTGGTAAAAAAAGAGGTTCATCACTCGCTACATCTGGAAACTCCACAAACTGTATTTGCCATATTATGCACCCTTCGCCAAAAAGCACACCCTGACCAACTTCAGGACCATTCTATAGGTAATCTATCAACGGCCGCTACTAAATCCAAATTTACATGAGAGTACATATTTTCTTGTGTACTTTTAAGATTATTTACAGAAAACTGATGTGAAGAAGGGAATTAATTGCCTTGTAACTATTCTACTCCTCTTTTCAAAGACAGAGTATGGAGTAAAGGTTAGAGTTAAGACAGAAATACAGAGGAAACTGTCGAGACTGGGCCTGAAAGACAGGTCTGGCAGCAGTCTGTGAGTGGGTCAAAGTTTGATGCCACTTTGTTTACAAAATACCTGGGGGTGGTCGGGTAGCCTAGTGGTTAAAGCGTTCGCTTGTCACGCTGAAGACCCGGGTTCGATTCCCGACATTTGTCTACAATGTGTGAAGCCCATTTCTGGTGTCCCCCGCCGTGATATTGCTGGATTATTGCTAAAAGCGGCGTAAAACCATACGCACTCACTCACTTTTCAAAGAGATATTTGTATCTTTCTATGATACACAAAACTGATTTTTATTTGGTGTCAAGTGTATGTTTAAATAGAATGACATATCTGATATCGTATCAGAAGTTGAGAAGTATATCATCAAAAACATTTAGTTTCATCTGCGTTTGAACTATGTTTGTTCGCTATCTTGCAATCTCTGACAACAAATTTAACTTGTGAATGGTTTTGATAGCGCTCCCCTTTGTCAATTTTCTATATGCCCAGGTGCTTATTATGGCAAATACCGTATCATACATATCTCATAAGCCTTTCTTTGGTGTTTTTTATTCAGATTGGGAAGAAGTCCCAGTTTCGGGAGAGACTACAGGAGTACCTGGCACAGGTGTCTGACGATGAAGATGTTGGTAAATTTGACTCGTTCAACTCTCCTAATGAATCATCCCTCGGCTCGGATGATTGGTCAACTTTTACAGAGACCGAGGCTGAAATGACAGGAATCGAAGATCCCGCTGACAGTGACCATGAGGACGTTGCCATGGAAACAGAGCCAGATGAAAAAAGGAGGTATGTCTGGTTTGTTTGTTTAATGCCGCACACAGTGATATTCCTGCTGTATGACGGTTTGTCTGGTACATTGTATTTTGCTATTTGTCTAAAATAGAAATAACTAAAGTCCCTTTCTTAACCTAGACTAATATTAAGTGGAATCTGTCTGAACCAAACTTCAGTGGGACTTTGATCTCATCCTGTTTGGATAGCAGTCGAGATCAGACAGAAATTCAATTCTGGGAAAGAGTTACTTCCCTTGGGAAAGAGTTACTTCCCTTGGTCCCTCACCATGAATAGTCAAGATCAAGGACCTGTGTACATGAACAACAAATTATTTCATGAAACGAGTAGTTTCAAAAAGGAATTTATGAAAGTTGTTTAACTATTTTGCTTCTTATTCATTTTGTTACCAAATAAGATTAGAAAACATTGCATAGTTATTTTGTCTTTTTTCATAGCTATGTTCAGGAATATTAAATAAATATACACATATTTAAAGATATCAATGCACTTCGTGACTTATATTAGCCACTGGTCTAAAGCCAAAGTAAAAATAATTAAGGGGTACGTATTGTTACCCTAATGTTAAAGGTTTAAAGTTTGGAGGTCTCTCGATTCAAGTACCATACCAGCAAACCAAACAGACCCAGGACACCCTTAATTAAGGACTCTACTAAATGTTATGCTAATATGAAGGTTTTTGCAAAGATCAAATTTATCTACACTTTTCATCTTTTCTTAGATAACGAAATTTTAAAATAAATGATGAAAGAAACCAAAAATATCATTAATTGTGCATGGAATAGATATTTATGTAAGTAATATGTATTTTGTTACTCCTGTCAGTAGTAGATACAACATGGAAGGACTTCCCTCAGGAATACCATATTTAATCAGTATGTTGCTGCGAGGCCCATGAAGGGGCACGTGAGTATTGGTCTTCAGCAACCCATGCTTGTCGTGTGAGGCGATTAACGGGATCGGGTGGTTAGGCTCGCGGACTTAGTTGATGCATGTCATTGTATCCCAATTGCGTAGATCTATGCTCATGATATCAATCACTGCCGTCATATAGCTGAAATATTGCTGAGTGCAGCACTCACCTTCACTTTGTTCTGGGCCTTTTTGTACAGACGAAATACAATTAAGGTGCAAACAGTATAAGATATAATACATTTCTTTGCTTTTTAACAAAAGCAGTTTCAACATAACTGCATTTTATACATGTTGGAGTATTTGTGTTCTTACAACATTGGCATAAAACAAGTACTTTGCTGTTTTCATATTGATAATAGGGTCTTGCGATGACAGTGGTGTATTAAACTTCAGAATATTTGGAAAGATGTAAAATTTAGATTCTTTGTAACTTTGCGTAAGATGGCTATAGGCTGGACACATTAACAAGTGCAGCGTTAAACAAACAATCCAATCCAATCCAATCCAATCCAATCCAATCCAATCAATCAATCAATCAATCAATCAATCAATCAATCAATCAATCAATCAATCAATCAATCAATCAATCAATCAATCAATCCAATCCAATCCAATCCAATCCAATCCAATCCAACCCAATCCAATCCAATCAATCCAATCCAATCAATCAATCAATCAATCAATCAATCAATCAATCAATCAATCAATCAATCAATCAATCAATCAATCAATCAATCAATCAATCAATCAATCAATCAAATCAATCAATCAATCAATCAATCAATCAATCAATCAATCAATCAATCAATCAATGTTGCTGCATCATCTCTTCTTTCTGAACATCCAAATAGAGCCAGGTAGCAGATACTAGAAAGATTCTATTGACTAGTGATGTCACGATACGCTTATCTCCAGACACGATACATATCATGATGCTTCGCAATACTTAATTTGTGTAAATGTGCCGTAAATTGTTGTATTTCATAGACCATAAACATAATTAAAAAAGCTTGAAACATCCTGAATAGCATTGTCTCATATTTTTTAATTAAAAATGTCTTATTTCAATCAAAACTTTATGTCAGATAAGATTGGAGTGGCAGCAAAATTTTTTTCTGTTATTAGATAAAATAGCAAGGTTGCATTCACGAAATACTTTAAAAGTGCACCAAACATATTAAATAAATTAAGTCAGAAGTAATGGGTCCATGTGTGCAAGGATACAGGATTAAGATATGAATCAAAACATACATTAACGTATGAATCAATACAGGTAAGTGCGTATTGCGTATTGTATCGTATCGTCTGAGAATATTATCGATGTATTCGTGAAACGTGACATTCCTTCTGTTTAGTTACATGTTTATATTTTCACCTTCTTTATTCAATTCTGTCTTGTGCGTCCACAGCCCTGAGAAGGAGAACCCGCCTGAGAAGGAGAACCCGCCCAAGAAGCACGAACCACCAGTTATAAAACAGACCACGGAGAAAATAGCACTTAAGAAAAAGAAGTCGGGTAAGACTTATTCCCTCGACAATTTCATCTCATAATATTCAGCTAGGGGGAGGGTGGTGGGGTGTATTTGACCAGTGGTGGGGTGAACTTGGACCAGTGGTGGATATATACTTACTAGGGCCAAGTGGCACGGGTGTACTTAGGCCCAGTGGTGGGGATGTACTAGGGCCAAGTGGCATATATGTACTTGGGCCCAGTGGTGGGTATGTACTAGAGCCAAGTGGCATATATGTACTTGGGCCCAGTGGTGGGTATGTACTAGAGCCAAGTGGCATATATGTACTTGGGCCCAGTGGTTGGGATGTACTAGGGCCAAGTGGCATATATGTACTTGGGCCCAGTGGTTGGGATGTACTAGGGCCAAGTGGCATGGGTGTACTTAGGCCCAGTGGTGGGGATGTACTTAGGCCAAGTGGCATGGATGTACTTAGGCCCAGTGGTGGGGATGTACTAGGGCTAAGTGGCATGGGTGTACTTAGGCCCAGTGGTGGGGATGTACTTAGGCCAAGTGGCATGGATGTACTTGGGCCCAGTGGTGGGGATGTACTAGGGCTAAGTGGCATGGATGTACTTAGGCCCAGTGGTGGGGATGTACTAGGGCCAAGTGGCACGGGTGTACTTAGGCCCAGTGGTGGGGATGTACTAGGGCTAAGTGGCATATATGTACTTGGGCCCAGTGGTGGGGATGTACTAGAGCCAAGTGGCATATATGTACTTGGGCCCAGTGGTGGGGATGTACTAGGGCTAAGTGGCATATATGTACTTGGGCCCAGTGGTGGGGATGTACTAGGGCCAAGTGGCATATATGTACTTGGGCCCAGTGGTGGGGATGTACTAGGGCTAAGTGGCATATATGTACTTGGGCCCAGTGGTGGGGATGTACTTAGGCCAAGTGGCATATATGTACTTGGGCCCAGTGGTGGGGATGTACTAGAGCCAAGTGGCATATATGTACTTGGGCCCAGTGGTGGGGATGTACTAGGGCTAAGTGGCATGGGTGTACTTAGGCCCAGTGGTGGGGATGTACTTAGGCTAAGTGGCATATGTGTACTTGGGCCCAGTGGTGGGGATGTACTAGGGCCAAGTGGCATAGGTGTACTTAGGCCCAGTGGTGGAGATGTACTTAGGCCAAGTGGCATAGGTGTACTTAGGCCCAGTGGTTGGGATGTACTTAGGCCAAGTGGCATGGATGTACTTAGGCCCAGTGGTGGAGATATACTAGGGCCAAGTGGCATAGGTGTACTTAGGCCCAGTGGTGGGGATGTACTAGGGCCAAGTGGCATAGGTGTACTTAGGCCCAGTGGTGGAGATGTACTTAGGCCAAGTGGCATAGGTGTACTTAGGCCCAGTGGTGGAGATGTACTAGGGCCAAGTGGCATAGGTGTACTTAGGCCCAGTGGTGGAGATGTACTAGGGCCAAGTGGCACGGGTGTACTCAGTCACTCACTTCATAACCATCATCCTACCTTCCATCCAAGTTTGTTTGTTTGTTTGTTTTTTGTTTAACGCCGCACTCAGCAATACTCCAGCTATATGACGGCAGTCTGTAAATAATCAAGTCTGGACCAGACAATCCAGTGACTGAGAACATGAGCATTGATCCACTCAATTGGGATCGATGACATGTATCAACCAAGTCAGCGAGCCTGACCACCCGATCCCATTAGTCGCCTCTTACGATAAGCATAGTCGCCTTTTACAGCAGGCATGGGTTGCTGAAGACCTATTGTACCCCGGATCTTCACGGGCCTCCCTCCAGGTTGTTCCAGGACAAGATATGTCCCCACCATGACAAGACTTCAGTATCTACCAACTGCCCTGAGACTCTGATTGTCACATGACTTGTGTATCTATTTGTGACAGATGTTCAAGATCCTATTCACAGTTTGAGGAAGAAATGGAAGAGTTCATTTTGTTTCATCTCGGAGTATCCAGACCACAGCGACATTATCAACGACCTCGTAGTTGATGGGAGAATCCTTGTCACAGCTAGGTGAGAAATGATTTTGGGCATACTGAACTCCAGATGGGCTAAATTACCATTACCAAATTAATTTTGAGTTGCTTGCATACAAATACCCATGAAGAAATTCAATAACCCAATTATCCCAACACTGTCTTTGATTTTACCCAATCTCATTAAAATCAGATCTTAGTTCTCGCTATCGCTGAACAAAGATCTGAGGACTTCCCATTACGGGTCATGTCAGAACGACCTTTCATCCCACCAATCAAAGCGTCGCTTACCAGATCATGAAAGTGACAGTCGGAATGAGTTTTCTAATAATGCAACCTCAAAAACGTTAACACGGCTTTTGCGAACGACAGTTACGACCCGTACGACTGATTCTTTCAAACTTATTGTCTGTCTCTCGCTTCCATAGGATAAACATTTGAAAGGAGGAAGCGTTGCACAGTATGTGGAAAGCACTGCTATACAACCTCAAGCATATATTAGACATTCAGGAATGTTCGTTTGTTCAGTTTTCAAAATTTCAATCGAGAACTTTGTCAACATATTTTTCAAGCGTAGTCTGAAATGGAAGTCGCCAGGTTGAAACAAGTGCCGTAAAGCTCGAAAAAGCTGCTTTCTAATTGGCTGATGTCGACTTCTTGTTAGTCATTTCAGCGATCGGTAAAAGTTCGCCAAAGGTCCTTCTGACGTGACCCGTAATGGGATATCCTCAGATCTTTGTTATGCGGCAGCGAGAACTTAGATATGATTTTAATGAGATTGGGAAGAGCCTTGTTGATTACCAAATGAAGTTTTTTCAGCTTAAGCTTGCGTACATCCATGTCTTTACTGACTGAATGCTTGCATCACGTATATACAGTGTTCCTGCTGGCTTTTGAAATTGGTGGACTGACACCTCAAAAAATTACCGGTCCTCCCTAATTATTGTCAGTCCCAACTTCAAGAAACAAAAAAACGTATGAAAATTACGGTGGCCCATAAGGGACATGGAGTCTGTTTTTCAATATTTTGATGTTTAACTTACTTTTATCGTAACCTTTTGCAAATTAACACAATTTGCCATACAAATATGTGATAAATCATGTATAAAAACATCCGAAAACATGGAAAATGTACTTTTAAGTAGCTATTGAGTCGCTGAAATGTAAAGTGAAAATGTCAAAAACTAAAATGGAAATGTCAAAAACCAAAACGAAAAGGTCAAAAACTAAAATGAAAATGTCAAAAACACAAAACGAAAATGTCAAAAACTAAAATGAATACACAGAAAACTATTTCCACCGTGGTGATAATATTTCCACCGCGGTGGGAATATTATCACCGCGGTAGAAATAGTTTTCTGTATTTTCATTTTAGTTTTTGACATTTTCGTTTCGTTTTTCAGCGATTCAAAATCTTCTTTACACATGATTTATCACATATTTGTAAGACAAATCGTGTTAATTTGCAAAAGGTTACGATAAATGTAAGTGAAATATCAAAATATGGAAAAACAGACTCCATGTCCCTTATGGGCCACCGTAGAAAATTACCTGGTTATAAATCGTTCAACACGTTCAATGCAATGACTTCCTCTCTACAGTAGCTTAGTCAGATCAGCACGTCATTCACTCAAAGTTCAGTCAAAATTTTCTCTTCTTTTGTTGAATAATTTTGACGAATTTGCTACAAATATACATTTAATCTTAAGCAATATGATTTATTACTTACTTGCACTACAAATAGACAAGAGGAAACCCTGATGGTAACAGACAAGCTGACTTCATTTGAAAAATATTCTTCACATGAATTACCAGTCCCAGCCTTATTTTACTGGTAAAAAACTGGTAATTCGTGGTCAACAGGAACACTGAATATATGTACTCACTTAACTTAGACATGTATCCCTGTTATGAGGCTTAATGACAGGCGACATGTGGAAGCACACGAACACATGCTTTTTAGTAGTTACCTGAAACAGTATTTATTTTCAAAAGACTCCACTCATGGGTCTACCAAACCCAACAGACTGAACCCAAGAGATGAAAAATACATTGAATATCTCCCCCCCCCCCCCCCCCCCCTAAATATCAATAGCCAATGCACCAAATTTCACCCTCACTCTGTGGAGGTTCATACTCAAATGAACTTGCGCAATCTCATTAAAATCAGATCTTAGTTCTCGCTGCCGCTAAACAAAGATCTGAGGACATCCCATTATGGGTCACGTCTGAACGACCTTTTGCAAACTCTGACCGACCAATGGAATTACTGACAAGAAGTCGACATTAGCCAATCAGAAGGCAGCTTTCTCGTGCTTTACGGCACTAATTTCAAATTGGCGACTATGCTTCAATACATATTTAAGCCCGTAACTATCGTTTGGAATACTCCGTTTTAAAGTTTTCGAGGCTGCATGATTAGAAATCACATTCCGACTGTCACTTTCATGATCTGGTAAGTGACGCTCTGATTGGTTGGATGAAAGGTCGTTCTGACGTGACCTCTAATGGGATGTCCACAGATCATTGTTTAGTGGTAGCAAGAACTAGCTCTGATTTTAATGAGATTGGAACTTGCGCAAAGTGAAAATAATTCTTAGATTATATTGTATCTACTGTATAAGTATTGCATTGTTTTGGTCGTGGTTTTCATTCCGTTCCCTGTAAGTGAAGCTGACTTCACACGAGGTATGTTCTTGAAACCTCAGATCATAACACGTCTCAGGAAATATATGGTCGTAGTGTGAAGCCAGCCTAACTGGCCACCCATATATTACAGCAAGACAACATGAAGACATTTTATGGATAACGACATAATTCTTTGTAACAACATTTCAAGGCTACTTCTTGCCGTCTCCTGTTGTCTTTCACCTGATGAAGAGGATAATGTTGCCCTAAAATTAGTTTAAGGATAGAAACTAACAGTTTTAGTCCACTAGTCCTTATAATGAGAACATATAGCAAAACCCACAAAAAAAGGCAAATTTCTACTGGTCCTTATGATACCGTAACTATTTGTTAACAGTTTGGCAAGGTTTACAGTGCCAATTTCTAATGCTGAGTTATGTAGAACAAAGAAATTGTTGTCCATCAAACGTTTCATGTCTTCATGACCTTCGAGCTTCCAAATGCCTATCAACTAGAAAGACAACATTCAAAGATTTGTATCACATGTTTTCGTCTTTTTGAAGTCATTTTTCATGCTACATGATTTGATCAGAGACCAAATATCGGAATATGGTCTCTGATTCGATTGAGATTCAACTTATTGGTGAAAGCGTTTTTCATTTTCCTGAATATTGCTTTGACAATTACATCAAGATCCAGGTCTGTTGTTTGCATTGCATATCTTTAAAGATATGTGCCATCATCAGAAGTTTATTTTTTTCAGTCGAGACACAACATTGAAGGTATGGGACCTCAAGGAAGGGAGACAACTCCGAAACCTTGGTGGACATACTGGCAGTGTGACAACTGTGTTTCTGTTGTCAGAGCAAGCTTCACAAAAGTCAGGTCGGTCTCAAATATAGAGCTTTCCTCCCACATTAAGCCGTGACATAACTGGAATAATGTTAAAAGCGGTGTTAAACCCAACTCACTCACTCACTATTACGCAACAGAGAGTAATGTCCCTTTGTTACCTTAAATTTGAATTATGTATTCTGTCAGTCATTACTATGAGGCGGCTAACCATTTTTGGTACGTGGGATTCAAGGTCTATTTAGAGGATATTAGGGACGGTAACATGTCCTTTATGACAGAAGTATATTGAGGAATCACTGTATATTATATGTTCTTTATTTTTTCTGAAATTTAACTTCAAATCGCATACCATTCTCTATGCTTTTGAGATTTGTTTTAAAAAGTATTCAGGATGAGCAAGGCGATTCACAGTGAAAATTTAGTATTCAGGATTCAAGGGATGGGGGGATGGGCACCCTCAACTGTACCTGTGCTAACATCATCAATATTTCACCGTTTTGGATAAACTATGTTCCTCCATTGCCGATGAATACATTCGGCCCTTATGTCTTGTAGTCATGATGCATGTTGTTGTGGGGTTGTGTGTAACTTATGGAACATCTTCCTGAGGCAAGGGAGTTATCTTTAGAAGTCCAGTTTTCACCCTTGCCGGAATTTGGTAGCTCGATCATAACACCACCAGTGGCTAGTACGAGCTATGTCCCTCCTATTGACCAATCAGATTTCACCTATCATATTACTTGCATTTGCTTCAAAGAAAATGGCAGCGGCCAGTCAAGATGATCTGATCAGTGATCAAGATCTATGTTGTTAAAAGATGGGTCTTTCCTTGCAAAGTGCATCATATTACTTGAGCCCCTTGATTAAATACATGAAAAGATACACATGCTTTGCAAATCCTACAGTTGACTGAAATCTGCACAGCAGTTTACGAACATGATTTCATTACATGATTTTGACTCGTTAGTCTAGCCAAAACGTAACTCCAAAATTCCAGCCTAGATCGGCCAGGGTGGATCCTGGACTTTTATAGTCAGTTAACGCCCTTGACTCAGGAAGATGCTCAAGTCAATGAGTCCTACTCTGTGAACTGCTCTGTATCCTGATATTGAAGCAGCACAGTCGAGTAGATGTCCGGAAGGCTGTGACACATGTTGCATGAGAAATATTGCTGTTTGTGTGATGTATTCTGAACACTCATTGGTCAGATCACTCACTAGTTTCTCTGTCACTGGAACAAGGGTGTGGCTTTATGTGTTGGTATAAATACTGACCACAGTTCACAGCAGTGGGCGGAGGATCAGATTGTACTGAAACCCATGACGTAGTGAGGATGTTTATTTTTGAGTACAACGTCTTTATTTGCTCACCCTGAAATGAGGCAAATTGAACGTCTAAGACCTGCCTCACATCGGACTTTCCATTAAATGGACATGCCATGATATAACTGAAATACACGTGGAAAGGAGAGTGAAGCCCAACTCTACTATAGAGAATGCTCTTGTTGGATGTGTAGCCCGCTATTGATATATCCGATTCTTGTGTTGTAGGTTATCTGGCTGGCAAGCCACCTCACCACAGGCTTGTCATCAGCGGATCAACAGACTGCTCCTTTAAGATCTGGGACATTGCAACAGGTAGGTAGTCTTCACAGTGGACTGCTCCTTTAAGATCTGGGACATTGCAACAGGTAGGTAGTCTTCACAGTGGACTGCTCCTTTAAGATCTGGGACATTGCCACAGGTAGGTAGTCTTCACAGTGGACTGCTCCTTTAAGATCTGGGACATTGCAACAGGTAGGTAGCCTTCCTCAGTGGACTGCTCCTTTAAGATCTGGGACATTGCAACAGGTAGGTAGTCTTCACAGTGGACTGCTCCTTTAAGATCTGGGACATTGCAACAGGTAGGTAGCCTCCACAGTGGACTGCTCCTTTAAGATCTGGGACATTGCAACAGGTAGGTAGTCTTCACAGTGGACTGCTCCTTTAAGATCTGGGACATTGCAACAGGTAGGTAGCCTTAATTAGTGGACTGCTCCTTTAAGACCTGGGACATTGCCACAGGTAGGTAGCCTCCACAGTGGACTGCTCCTTTAAGATCTGGGACATTGCAACAGGTAGGTAGCCTTCCTCAGTGGACTGCCCCTTTAAGATCTGGGACATTGCAACAGGTAGGTAGCCTTCCTCAGTGGACTGCCCCTTTAAGATCTGGGACATTGCAACAGGTAGGTAGCCTCCACAGTGGACTGCTCCTTTAAGATCTGGGACATTGCAACAGGTAGGTAGCCTTCCTCAGTGGACTGCTCCTTTAAGATCTGGGACATTGCAACAGGTAGGTAGCCTTCAGAGTGGACTGCTCCTTTAACATCTGGGACATTGCAACGGGTTGGTCGCCTTTATTAGTCGACCACAGATGGTGATTGTAGTAGTAGTGGTGTGGTAGTAATGGTGGTTGTAGTGGTAGTTGTATCTGTGTGGTAGTGGTTGTGGTGGTGGTGGTAGTAGTGGTGGTGGTTATAGTGGTGGTGGTGGTGGTGGTGGTAGTGTTAGTGATGGTGGTGGTGGTAGTGGTGGTGGTGGTTTTAGTGGTGATGGTAGTGGTGGTGGTAGTGATGGTGGTGGTGGTAGTGGTGATGGTAGTGGTGGTGGTAGTGATGGTGGTGGTGGTAGTGATGGTGGTAGTGGTAGTGTTAGTGATGGTGGTGGTGGTAGTGGTGGTGGTGGTTTTAGTGGTGATGGTAGTGGTGGTGGTAGTGATGGTGGTGGTGGTAGTGGTGATGGTAGTGGTGGTGGTAGTGGTAGTGATGGTGGTAGTGGTGGTGGTAGTAATGGTGGTTGTAGTGGTAGTTGTATCTGTGTGGTAGTGGTGGTGCTAGTGATGGTGGTAGTGGTGGTGGTAGTGGTGGTGATGGTGGTGGTGGTAGTGGTTGTGGTGGTGGTAGTAGTGGTGGTAGTGATGGTGGTAGTGGTGGTGGTAGTGATGGTGGTAGTGGTTGTGGTGGTGGTTGTGGTGGTGGTGGTAGTGATGGTGGTAGTGGTGGTGGTAGTGATGGTGGTAGTGGTGGTGGTGGTTTTAGTGGTGATGGTGGTGGTGGTGGTTTTAGTCGTGATGGTAGTGGTGGTGGTGGTAGACATTTTACTGGCTGCCGTCAACAATATCGGCCTGGTCATGAAGTGTTCCATGAGGGACTACTGTCTACAACAGCCAGATCTATTTATAGCACTGCCAGTCCCTCCCTTGTGTCTGGGCTATGCAGCATGATGATGAGCACAAGATGGGATCAGTCCGAGGAATGTAGTGCCCACTGCATCTCATCACAAGATGAATTCTTGGCCTTGTAGTGATCTGAGTCAATCTATTCCTTGTTTCTCCAGGCACTGGCAAGTGTTGCAAGAGGCAGCATAGTATTACTGTTCCTGTGTGATACAGGAAATCTTTAGTCAACCCACAGCACAAACATGGATTCACTTTTCAGTGATAAGATGAGATAAGTTAAGATATATTTATTGCCAGAACCATTCCAAGGATCAATCTACACCGCAGTCAACTCAAAGCAGTTTATTCTGCAGTCATAACATTCAGATAAAATCCGGACAACCTGGTTAAAACAAAAAGTTGGAATGGACAAATGCGAACGCAGACACGTGTAGTGGCGGACGGAAGAGAGGCAATTTTGTAGATATACATATAATCAATTGATATAAACATGCAAGAGAGAGTATTTTCAGAAGTTAAAAGAAACAAAATGTAAAATAGAGTGTTCGGAATTACAGTAAACTACGTTTATAACAAACACTTTTGTGAACGACCCCTTACTTTTCAAGCTTAATTTCAAACACTGCTGTATATCTTCATGTATTGACCCACTGCTGCCAAAAGCTTAATGAGTTTATAGTGGTAAATTGGTAAAATTAAAAGATACTACCAACAGATTAGGTAACCAGTCATTTTGTTTTTGAATGACTGTTTAGTGTGAGAAATTAAGCAGGAAAGTCTAGAGGTCCATGTCATAACCCTAATGTTAAAAGATGAAAATTTAGGGGGTCCCAGATTCAAATGCTATAACACCAGACTTAAAGAACCATAGCTCAATGATAGGACCACCCTTAGTTTGAACTTTGCTATTTAAATATTTATTACAGGGTTTTACCAGATAGTGTGTCCTATACACATGCATTCAAATTGAAAATGGATGCAAATAATTTACATTGCGAGTCCTTTGTGAAGCAAAATTATATATCACTATATAAATAATTGAAGTAATCAAAATGGTAGATTGCATGTTACATTCAACTGATATTTCTATAATGGTAAAAAAATAAACTCAATGTTCAGGTTGTCAATGGTTGCTGCTCTTTACTCTAACATAGAAATCCCCATTATTGGGAGGCTCAATGCTTCTGAGCATGTGACATATTGTCCAGTGAATCGGGACCAGTAACATTCTTGGAAATCAAGTGAAGTGTGTCAAATATTGCAAGCCTGGGCCCCCCTGTTCATGCCATCTTCCTGAGGCAAGGAAAGTCCAGTTACCACCCTTGCCAAACTTGGCTGGAATTTCTGGGCTCAATCGTAGCACCACCAGTGGCTATGACGAGTTATGTCCCTTCAATGTCCCTCCTACTGACCAATCAGATTCCATCTCTGATTTCACTTACATTTGCTTCAAACAAAATGGCGGTGCCCAGTGAGATGATCTGATCGATAATCAAGATCTATATTGCAATAAAACAGGTCTTAATTCGCTAAATGCATCAAATCACGTGAGTGCCTTGATTGAAAGCATGACAAGATTTGGAAAATATCTGTTGATACTAAGTTTTTGGTACACATTTTTCAAATCCTGCTATCGACCAAAATCTGCACGACAGTTTACGAACTGAATGATTTCTTTATCCGATTTTGATTGGACTATGCATAAACTCGTTAGTCAAGCCAAAATATAACTCCATAATTCCAGCCAAGTTTGGCAAGATTTGAAACTGGACTTTTATAGTCACTTAACTTTGGGACTTAACTCTGGAAGATGTGTTCATGTCTTCGATTCTCAAAATTTATCACTGAGAGTCCCCAGGACTCGACAAAAGATACATCCAGGTCAATCCCTGTACGACAAACCCAGCTCTGACAGATGAAAATACTTCTGTTTTCCTCTGCTAAACTTCTGATTGCAAAATACAATGCCAAATATAATACATTTACTTAAAAACACAAAAGAATTATTTTTTTTCTATTTTGTGGATGAATGAATTTCTTTAAAGTGAAGAATTCCCGGTCAAACTGATACTTAAACACAATGCACAAAAAAAAAATGAAAATGGAAACAAAAACGAACATGCAGTGAACCTCATAATGATGTGGGCAGTGCCTGAGAACCAAGACTATTTATTTTTTTATCCTTATCACTGATATATATGGTTACCTTTATCAGTTACCTCTACAAAGCCGCAACATTAGTTATGATGATACTGACATGCTTTGGGATTTTTTAGATTTCAATTTGGGAATTTTTACTGACGTTTGCTCCAGCTTTGGGGCTGAAAATAGGCCTCTGAGCATGTCTAGAAATATACACCTGTATTGTTCAGATCTAATGAAGACTCACCACATTCATCTTCCTGTTTCAGGGGCCATACTCAAGTCGGTGTACACCTACAACCCCATCACCAGACTGGCCTGTAACCAGAAGGGCCTCATTCTGACAGGAACAGGTACAGTGTACAGTTACCTCCCTTTGTTTCTTTTTCAATACAATGATAAAGTATAGGGTGTTTGCAGCACATCCTCTGATTATAAAAATGTATTGTGGTCATTTTTGTCTTCATGTGGCTGATCATGGCTACAGAAAAAACGAAGCATACATGTTTGTTGGGACTAAGAATATGTTCTTATTTCTCCACCCATGCGGGCGGTCAGGTAGCCTAGTGGTTAAAGTGTTCGCTCGTCACGCCGAAGACCCGGGTTCGATTCCCGACATGGGTACAATCTGTGCTCCCCATTTCTGGTGTCCCCCGCCGTGATATTGCTGGAATATTGCTAAAAGCGGCTTAAAACCATACTCACTCACTCACCATATGGCTCATAGTACAGTTGTAAGATAAATAATATTTTAGGTCACATGTCCAGAGTGGTACATCTTTGATGATCCCATTTTAGATATTTACATAAATATAAAGCTATCAATTAAGCGTAGTGTGTTACTATCACAGGAGTTAAATAAATTTTCAAACGTAATATTACCTTTATAATATTTTTGTAATGAGGTTAAAAAAAACTATTTCTTAAGTGAATATATTTCTTACATACAAACAAGACATAGTATTCACCCTTATCTAAATGAAGGTCACATTCATTACATATAGATTCTGTATGAAGTATATTTAACAATGACCTTTTACGCATAATGTTGACACGAAAGTTGTGAAGAGACATTCGAAATTTACACGTTCCTCTCCCCGCCGTGATATTGCTGGAATATTGCTAAAAGCGGCGTAAAACCATACTCACTCACTCGCTCACTACACGTTCCTCTCACTAATTGTTTGTCTCTGAGTAAAGATATATATAATTTGGGTTGCCAAGGAGATTGTATATTAGCATAATGCACTATAAAAGTAGACGACTCCAAACTGTGGTAAATATATATCTCTTAACCGTTTTGTAAATGCAGACATGTTACTTTGTCATTTTTTACCTACGAGGGCAAACATATTGGGGTTAAGAAAAATCATATGTGCCCTAGGGTCATATCACAGCAGTGTATTGTTTCCGTCATCTAGACGGCATTGTTGACGTCATGCGAATGTTATTGTGACATCACACTAGAAATGACGTCATAGCTGAAGATTCTTCATGTCATCGATCATTGTGGATCCGCTGCTGTTGCCTCTAAAATTTGTTTGCATGTAGACATGTTCTTCGGTAATAAATAGAACATTATATTTGTGTTCATGTCATACTATGTTTATGACATGACTGTCTAAATTCTGGTATTTCCCACACAAGATACCAGAATTTAGACATGGGTGTATGACATTGTATGACACAATATGACAATGACACTGATATACCATATTTGACGTAGCAAGCGTCCAGGGCGCTCTCAAAATTAGAAATAGGGGGCTCTTATTAGAATATTATTTTGGGGGAAAAAACAACAGAGTTGAATGATAGTATATTTCGTGGTTTATGCTGACAGCCTGAAATGTTTATATACGACAGATATAATTTTCCAGAATTAATTGCCAATAACCAAGGGAGCATATTACACACAAGTGCGTATTATACGCGAATAAATAAGTCTTGCGTACATTGATTAATAGGAAGGGGTGCTAATTGGGATTGTTCACTTGTCAATATATTAGCAAATATCACTGTGGGCGCTTATAAGAGCGGAGCGCTTATTATGTCGAATACGGTAATATCCTCTATAAACGATCATGTCAATTACAGACGGTGGCAAGATGGAGATATGGGACATGGAGACCGGGGAGAATCTTCACTCTGTCATCGCCTTTGAAGGAGCTGTCACTGCCATAAAGGTTAGTGCACATATGATTGTCTACAACTTTTGTACCGGAACACTTTCTCCCGTGGGGGATTCGGGGTAAGAAATGGTCTCCAACAACCAATGGAGAATCTTGACTCTGGCATGGCTTTTGAGGGAGCTGTCACTCCAAGGCTCGCTAAATACAATGTTTATTCCTAATGCAGGATATTTACCATCCCCAAACACACTCGCGTGATAATCTCTATATCCGAGTTGAGTAGATTGATGTTTATGATGTCAGTCACTGGATTATCAGGTCCAGGGCAATTATTTACAGTCCGCTATCATAGAGCTGTAATATTGCTGAGTGCTGCGTTAACCAACAAACAAACAAAACCAACAAATTGCAAACTGAAACCTCAGCGTTTTATTCAGTCAACTTTGTTTCCAGATGGCAGACAATCACATCTTCAGCACATCGTCGACCGGTGTGGTCAAAGTGTTCCAGATCAGAGATAACAGCCTGGCGTGTATGTATGAGTCGGAGAACCTCAGATCAGTGTCCGGAGCTCTGGTGACCCCGAGGTTCATCCGATCTCTAGCGGTGTTCAAGCACATGGTGTTCTATGGGGACGATGCCATCAACATCAAGCTCCTGGAGTGGAAGAGAGGTAAGGATTGTGGCCACTATTTGATAGCAGTGGAATATTACATGTTAGTGGCTTAACAGATGGTAGTGGCAAGTGTTTTTCTAATCTGAATGTGAACAAGTCTTGGACCAAAGTAGATTTTTTTAGGAGATGTAAATGAAAAAGTACAATATATAATCTTTGGCCACAGACTTAGATTTGTCTTGAAAGTTCTAAAAATCAACCCGTTTGACATATTTTAGCCACACTTATTGATTGAATGTCCAGTGTCCAAAAGCTGCCAGTGAAACCTGAGAAAGCCAGTTTTCAGCCATTTAAAAGTTTGACATTTCCAGGGCAGTTAACCTACATCCTCTTTTAGCTGAGGGGACACCGGTGCCCCAGTCGTCTAAGGCACCACAGTTCGCTGTGCAGAGTTGTGTCCCTTAGACACGTGAAAAACCTTTGTTTCTAGGTTTGTCAGCACCATACCCGTGCTTGCTGGTTTCACCAAAGTGATAAACGTTTGAGACGTCAATCACTTAGGACTTTCCTCCCACATTAGGCTAACACGCCCACAGTGATATTTGCTTATATATTGACAAGTGAACAATCCCAATTAGCACCCCATCCGATTAATCAGTGTACACAAGACTTATTTATTTGCGTATAATACGCACTTGTGTGTTATATGCCCCCTTAGTTATTGGCACTTTATCAGTGTCACCCCCATGCTTGTTTCAGGCATCGTGAAGAAGTTACCGAACCACACAGACGAGTTTGCCTCTACTGACGCCATCTGCTGCTTCGAGGACCTCCTTGTGGCCTCCAGCTACGACCTCGACAACGGCCTCGGCTACATCAACAGTAAGTTGGACCAACAGGGGCCTTAGCAGCCTCATTAAACAAGATGGATGTATTGCTTTACTTATAGTTATACTGGTGATTCTGGGTAACGGCTGCCTCCCAATTACCTATGCTGGTCGTAAGAGTCAGGTCGTCAGGCTCAGTGACTTGGTTGATTGCACTTAGGAGTTGACGTTCTTACAATGTTTGGCCTTTACTCTGTAGGCCAGTAGGAAAATCCCCTAATTCAATTACACCTAGACATTTTCAATAACAGACAAATATGTATGCCAAATGAATTCTCATGTTCATATGTCATAACCGAAAAAAAAAAAACCAAAATCAACCTCTGGTAAAGGTGTTAAATTTGAGTTTGATTTCCGGTCAAATTTGCTCAATGCCTTTCTTTGCATGTAAAGTAGTTGTCCATTAAGTAGTATCTGTAGGAACCAAAACAACATGGCACCCACAGGTGGTCTCTCCAGCTCGTAGAGGTTTTGTGTCAGTGTTTGGCCTTTGCTCTATGAAGGTTCATACTCCAATGAGCTCCCACAAAGTGAACATGAATAATTTAATATAATTCATTTTTTTTATATAGTTTTTTATATCACTATTTTATACCTCGAGGGGTGTAGCAGTAGATGCGTGGTACTTCATGTTTACAACCATACAACAACCAGCTGTATTGCGGAATAAAATAGTTCCCCAAAAAGAAAGGAGACATGAGCATATGTATGCCCAACTTGTTTTCCAGGAACATCCGTTGTAGTTTGTTTACAAGAAATGTATTCAAATAATCATCATTGGGTGAGAAAGGTCTGTTAAGAACTACCTCAGTAAGTAAGTCACAATGACAGCACGTCGTAATACATTTACATCAAGTATAAGATGCCTAAAGGTCTGACACGATAAACGTGACGGGAGAGATTTCTGAAGTTGTTAATGGACCTGTGGCGGACCTGATAAGGTGATTATCAAAATGAGTCTAATGTAGACTAATGTACATGTTAATCTAGACTCGGATCGAGTCGATACTATGATCGTGGATGGGCATTTCTAAGTTTTGTTTACTAGGATGGGTCGTAGCGAGGATATTCTTGAACGATCATGCAGTCAAACTCTCTGATGTTTCTCAGTGTATGCTAAAACGCTGAGTTCAAGGGTCTGAATGATCAGAAACAATGCTATTATATGTAATTGTACCTGGGAATTCCCATTGGTTTATCCCCAGGAATGTGGATGTCCAACGAAGGAATATGGGTCAGTATCTTTGTATTCGTAAGAACATGGCTGACAAAGCTGCATCAGCCAATGAAGTAAGCGCATTTGGTCATGAGGTGATGCTAAGTTGCTTGAACCTGGAGTTGTTCCCCTTAGCCCATTGCTGAGGCAAATGATACATGCTTAAAGAATTACTCTCGTAATATTTCCAGCAATGAGACACCAGTATTAGTTTGAATGTGGGGTGGGGCCTTGAGCAAATACATTTCCAACAGAGCAATATTACTAAATACAACATAAACTTCAAATTAAACATTCATATCATCCTACCTGACAAGCAGGACATTGCACATAACATCAATCACTGGTTTTTCTGGTCTAGACTTGATTATTTACAGGCCGTTATCATATAGCTGGAATATTGCTGAGTGTGGTCTTATCAACGAACAAAACAAACAAAATCGGTTGTCTTGACGGAAACACGAAATATATTCTCCAATCGCTTATGACATTGGCGCCTGAATTTTTAAAATAAACTCTGAATCAATGACTGTTTTAGCGAGCTCCAGTACTAGCAGGGATCTTGTATTGTGATTTTGTGTTGCCTTCAGTTCGGTCTCTACCACACGGAGACTACCTCGCCACTCTTGATGACGAAGACACGGAGAGAATCATCTGCCTGGGATGTGCAAGAACAAAGTCTGGCAATTTGGTGCTGGTGACCGGAGGAATGCAGTTGAAGGTGTGGGAAATAGATGCCATTCACCGGTAAGCACATTTGTCAGAACACATATATGTCACGCATTTCTTTTTCTTGTTTTTCAAAGAGTGGAATTAATCCGAGGTCGTGCACAAGCTAAGGAGTACTTACTTTGGAAGGATGTTATGAACTGTTTGATCTTGCATTCCATCGTTGGAAGCTTGTCCTGCTTATAAGAATGTTTTTTTTGTTTGGAAGCATTTTTTGTTTCAGTTTTTAATTTTGCATAATTCAATCACCGGTTGGGGATTCTGGGACGTCATAGGTCATTAGTAGTCATTGATTGTCAGGATTCTGGGACATCATAGGTCATTAGTAGCCATTGATTGTCAGGATTCTGGGACGTCATAGGTCATTAGTAGCCATTGATTGTCAGGAGTCTGGGACGTCATTAGTAGCCATTGATTGTCAGGATTCTGGGACGTTATAAGTCATTAGAAGCCATTGATTGTCAGGATTCTGGGATGCCTTAGGTCCTTAGTAGCCATTGATTGTCAGGATTCTGGGACATCAGAGGTCATTAGTAGCCATTGATTGTCAGGATTCTGGGACGTCATAGGTCATAAGTAGCCATTGATTGTCGGGATTCTGGGACGTCATAGGTCATTAGTAGCCATTGATTGTTAGGATTCTGGGATGTCATTAGTAGCCATTGATTGTCAGGATTTTGGGATGCCATAGGTCCTTAGAAGCCATTGGTTGTCAGGATTCTGGGATGCCATAGGTCCTTAGTAGCCATTGATTGTCAGGATTCTGGAAGGTCATAGGTCATTAGAAGCCATTGATTGTCAGGATTCCGGGAGGTCATAGGTCATTAGTAGCCATTGATTGTCAGGATTCTGGTTAGAACTGGCCCCAGTAACCCATGGCTGATGACTAAACAGATCAGTGACGTGGCTCGGTCATGTGGTTGATTGTGTGTCATCGTACCCTCATGGTTTTTATCATTTTCACAATATCAGTCACTGGATTGTTTGTTCCAGACGTGATTATTTTACAGGCCATCATCAAAAAGCTAGAATATTTGTGACAAGGATGTTAAAGAACCCACATGCACACACACACACACGCACGCACACGCACACGCACACGCACACGCACACGCACACGCACAGCACACAGCACACAAAGGCACACAAAGGCACACACACACTCACGCACACGCACACACACAAGTACACACACATACATACACACTCACACTGTCAAGAGTGAGGACACATACATACACACTCACACTGTCAAGAGTAAGGACCAGTATGACTTGGTTTATTGTCAGTTATTTGACAGTGTGCATGGGTTGTCAATGTCAACTAACCATGCCAAGCCTGTGTGTCAGCTTTACAGATCATCACTGTCATATTTATTTCACCTGTCCTGAAAAATCAAGGTGTTTTGCACAATCTTCCTCAGTGGCCTAAGGAGTTGTAACTCGCTGTTCAGAGTTACATCCCTTTGCCATGGCAGGATCTGCTGCTTGTAAGTTCTCAGCCTGGATATTCCCACTGTAGAGTTGTCTCCCTTGCCATGCCACAATCTGCTGGTTGTAGGTTCTTATCCTGGATAATCCAGATTATAATCCTTCATATGCCAGCACCCTATAGTCCGGTCAAAATAACGATAGACCCACCACAAATTGCAACAGAAATGTTTTTAGTTGATTCATATTTAACAAGCCCTCCTTAACATCATATCAAAAATCTAGAACCTGGGATTCGAACCCACAACCATAGGTTTCTGGCGTGCCCAAGGGACGCAACTCTGCACAGCGAATCGCGGCGCCTTAGACGACTGGGCCACCCGTGTCCCCCGGTTCTCTCATGATCTCTTGGACTTGTCCTTCAAACTTCTGTTCAGACTTGTTTGCTCTTGCCATTGCCTTTACTGATGACCTTGTTATCCTGTCTCCTTGGTAAACATGGCCGCCAATGTGTACCTTGTCGGGAAACATATATTTGTCAACATTTATTGATGACCTCTCTTGACATATAAGGTTTAAAATGGAAACTTTTTAAAATGAAGGTTTTCAAACAAATAAACAATTTTTAATATTATCAAATAAATAAAGTTAAAACTAACAATGATTATGTAGATAAATAAATATGGATATATGTGTTTTCCCCCCAATTCTGTTTTTGTTTTTGTTTCAAAGGCCGGTTATTTCACTTTTATGCAAAATAGATACAAACTATAGATACAAAAGGACTGCATATGATGCCAGCTTTCATTTGATATCTAACTTGATATGGTTAAAGGAAAAATGAAACATTAAGTTTTCTGGCTTTTTTTTATTTTACATTGATTTACCCCCAAAAGATCATACCAAAACTAAACAATTTTCACCAACTAAGTTTTTCCTAGATTTTAACTATGTTGTGAGGAATCCTGGGGAAGAATATAGGTCCCCAGGGAGCTGAGAATGAAAATCAAAAATCAGGGTGATAATAGTGTAGCACTATGAGCATCCACTTAGTGACTGTAATCTTGCGCATTATAAATGCACTTATTATTATTATTATTATCGATCGGTGAAATAGTTTCTTTAAACTTGTGGAATAATTGAATAATATTGAATAAAGTGTCCTCATGCTTTAACCATAATAGTTCAGGGCAAAACTATACTTCAGTATGCTATACGCTACAGGCTACAGGCTACAGGCTACAGGTTACACGCTTCAGGCTACACACAACTACAGCGTACTCCATGGTGTTGGTATGGCTTCTGTGTGGCGAGACCTTCCCTGTCTGCATGTAAATAGCATGTGATACACATGGAAGGCGTGTATGTGCGATACACGCCCTAGTTTGATAACGGGAAAAAGTCTTTTTGCAAGTCACTGTGCTTCTTTCTATGAGGACTGTTCTTTATCTAAATGTTCTGTTATCAGCTTTTTAGGACTGTGTGGTTCATCATCTGTCCGTTGACATCATCGTCTCCAAAACAGACGTAATGACCATGAAACTTTAAAACTTTCTGACTGAGATTTGATGATGGCATCAAAATAACATTTGAAGTGTTGTTTTTTGTTCAAATGATGAAGTAAATAATTGTAAAAGATAATGAAGATCTTCTGAGGTACTGCAATGTCTCATCTTCCTGAGGCAAGGGAGTTAACTGACTGTGAAAATCCAGTTCCAGCCTTGATGAGGCGGCCACGGGGGGCCCAGTTGTCTAAGGCGCTGCAATTCACTGTGCAGAGTTGCTTCCCTTGGGCACGCCAGAAACCTATGATTGTGGGTTCGAATCCCGGTTCGCCCCGATTATGTTTCTAGGTTTGTCAGCACCATACCCATGCTTGTGGGTTTCACCGAAGTGGTAAACGTCTAAGACCTGCATCACTTCGGGCTTCCCTCCCACATTAAGCTGACACGCCGCAATATAACTGGAATACTGTTAAAAGCGGCGTTAAACCCAACTCACTCACTCCAGCCTTGATGAACGAGGCTGGAATTTCGTGGCTCAATCGTTATGCCACCAGTGGCAGTTACGAGCTATGTGCCTTCTATGTCCCTCCTATTGACCAATCAGATTATACATGTAGTATCATATTTCTTGCATTTGTTTCAAACAAAATGACGGTGTGCAGTCATGATGATCTTATTGTTAATCAAGATCTATATCGAATAAGACGGGTTTAAAATCGCTAAGTGCATCAAATTACTTTAGCACCTTGATTAAAAACATGAAAAGATTTGGAAAATATCTGTTAACACCAAGTTGACGGTACACATGCTTTGCCAATCCTGCAATCGACCAATATCTGCATGGCAGTTTACGAACCAGATGTCTATTTCGTTTCCCGATTTTGATGGCACTATGCATGGATCGTTAGTCCAGCCAACAATTTAGAACTCCGAAATCCAAGCCTAGTTCGGCCAGGGTTGAAACTGGACTTTTATAGCCTTGGGAAGATGTAATGTCTAGAAATTTGAAGTATTGATATGTATAGCAATGCAATGGATTTAAGATTTGTTCATGCCAGTAGATAGGGTAAAATAAAACATAGGCTTTTAATTGTTTTTATCTTCAGAAAAACATTAAGCTTAGAAATATCCACAAGACCCAGAGAATACCATATAAGGATGTGAAGGAGCATAATACATCATGGAATGGAAATAATTGTTTGCCTGTTAACATTGATAAAGATGTTCTTCAATGGTGGAATCATATTATGAGAAAGGAAACAGATTCAATAATTGATATTTTGGAGGATTTGTATAACTACAACTGGATTCAGACTTTATTGGAGTGTTAGAAATTGGCACTAGTCCTATAGTCCTTGCACACTGTCCAATAGTTAAGGTATCATACTGAGTCGTAGACATTTGCCTTTTTTATGGGTTTTGCACTATGTTATCAATATAAGCACTAATGGACTAAAAATGTTAGTTTCTACCGCTGCTTTATTGTGGCATTTAGTGTGAAAATGAAGGGGTTTTTTCTTTGAAAAGAACTAAGAATAACTCAGTGATCAGTCAGAAACTGTGGGAATCAGAAACAGAAATATCCGATTCAAGTTATCTTAACTTTTAACTTAATAAGGCTCTGAAGAAGTTAAAAAATGCCCCATATTTTTATATGGCTGTAGTCAACATTGTCCCCATGTGGGAAGTTGGTGTGACAAGTGGACGCTGTAACCATGGCTACCCCATCTTGTCAAGTGAGATCGACTTATACTTGTCTATATACTGAAACTATCATATACTAAAATGTAATACAATAATACAAAATAAATACAAGTTTCGGCTAGAAGATGCAAATATGAGCTTATCCTATAACTGAACTTCAAGATTGTCAGGGGTGCTGAGGGTAAAGTGGTGGAGGTGGTGGTTAAGTTTACTGGTGATGCGGACTATGAAAAGTCTATTTGCACCCACTGAATGATTGATGTTACCATAGAGTTATCTCCCTTTGACCATCCATGCCCTGGCTTCTCCATGAGTTAATAACAGATGAAATCCACATCTGTATATCTGATGTATTTATCCTCATCATAATTTGGAATAT